CTTTCCCTATTCGAATGCCTTTTATTTTATTCTTTTTTGAGTGCATTGGCTAGGACTTCCATTACTGTATTGAAAAGGAGTAGAGAAAATGAACAGCCTTGTTTTTGTTCCAGGTTTTAGTGGGAAATCCTTTATTTTTTTCCCCATTCAGTATGATGTTGGCTATGGATTTTTCAAAATTGGCTTTTATCGTATTAAGAAATACTGGCATAATATTGGCATATAACCTGTGTGCACCCTCCTGTATACTTTAAATCACCTCTGGCTTGCTTCAAATACTGAGTATAGTCTAAAAGCGGTATAAATTGTGAATGGTTATTGTGCTATACTGTATCGGGAATGATTACAAGAGAAAAAGTCTATAAATAATATTCAGTACAGCTGCTATGAATTCCCCCTCCCCCAATATTTTCAACCTGCTGTTAGTTAAATCCATAGGTTGAGAAATGTCCCTTCCTTGCTGCTTTGGCTGAGAGTCTTAATCATGAAGGGATTTTTTTAAAGTGGTTTTTTGAATTAATTGACAAAATCATATGGTTTTTATCTTTCTTTCTGTTAATGTGGTGTATTATGTTTATGGTTTTGCATATGTGGAACCATCCTTCCATCCCTTAATTAAAGCCTACCTGGTCATCATGTATAATCTTTTTATGTGTCATTGGATTTGGTTTGCTAGTACCTTGTTGAGAATTTTTGCATCTATATTCATCAGAGATACTGGTCTGTAGTTTTTCTTTTTTGTGATGTCCTTGTCTGTTTTCAGGATGAGGGAGGTGGAGGATTCATAAAATGAACTTGGGGAGGATTCTTTCCTTTCGCATCATTAGAAATAGTTTGAGTAGAATGGGGGTTAGCTCTTGAAAAGTTTTGTTGAATTCAGAAGTGAAGCCGGAGACTGCCTCAGAAGGCAGTTGTGTTGTACTGTACCATCATTTGGCCCTTAGTCATTATGTATATTATATTCAGTTTTTGGGAAAGTCATGACACATTTTTACATAGGAAAACATGGAAAAAATATGTCATGACTTTTCTGACAGCCCAGTAGTTCCATATTTGGAAATAAATGAATATTTTGTTTTATTGTTTTGTTATACTAAGTGTTGTATACAAGTGGATATGTATGCTCATATCTATGGGTTATATATAAATAAGTTTTTAAAACTACAGTCTCAAAAAATGTTCTCATGTTCATAAGAGTTTATAAATAAAGCACAGAACACTGCTGCCGACTCTGTGGAGCTCCTCTGCCCCACTACCCCACCCCCTGCCCAGCCAACTCACTTTTTTTTTCCCTTTAATTTCAGTTTTTGTGATGGTTTAATTTTTTAATATAGTTTCAATGCTTAAGATGCATAAAAATATTGGAAAACATCATTTCCCCTCACTAACATTGTACACATACCCAGTCTCCCCCTCCCTTGACTATGTTCTAGCAGAACAGTGAAACCTGTCTTATTAATAAGGTGATTTAATATGCAACAATGTGATCTTTGCCCAGCAAGTGATTTTTTTTTTATTTTATAAATTACGTTTTTATGTAGCCAGTAAAAGTAAACTTTTATTTAGATCATGTTAGAAACAAAGTGACCGTTCACGCCTTACGGTAAGCATGCGTGAACTCACCTTGCGATTTGCAGTCTACTTCCTTACCGGTTTCAGAATCCTTCAGATACCCAAATCTGCAGATGCCTAGGTCCCGTGTGTAAGTTGGCATGATACTGGCATATAACCCATGGGGGCTTCCTTACAATACTGAATACAGTCTAAAAGCTGTGTATAGTTATTGTGCTTTATTGTTTAGGGAATAGTTACAAGAAAAAAGTCTGTAAATATTCAGTATAGATGCTGTTTTCCCCTCAATATTTTCAACTTGCTGTTGTCTAAATCCATAGAAAGGGAACTGTGGTTACAGAAGGCTGACTGCTTTTAGAAATCTGGCCCTTTTCGATGGGTCCATTCGTATTTAAAAAACATCAGAAAAAGGAATTCTTGACTTTTTCTTTAAGAAAAATGAGGGCCAGGTGATGGCGCTGCATTGCTCTTCTGGACCTAGCCACTGCTTGTGAGGTTCCGGAGTGATGTCTGGAGACCTTCCGGAACATGCTGGGCACGCATGTGTCCAAGATTCGGGGCTGGCTGAGCTGCCCGGTGGATCTCAGAGTAAAGGCTGTCCTGCAGTGCTTGTCTGCCTCTCTTACTGCAGGGAGGAAGAAAAAAATTAAAAAAAAAAACTGAAAAATGACTTATTTAGCCATCATTGTATATACTTAATATAGGTGTATAGAGAAATAATAGATGTTTATTATAAATATAGGTAAGTGGTATAATTGGTAGTGTATACACACTCAGATTAACTTAGCTTTTGTAGCCTCTTTCAGAAAATTGAATTAGTGGTGGTTTAAAACCTGTACTTACCTTTTCACGTGCTGGTGACTTGGGTGAATCCTTTCAGCTTTGTTCCATAAAGCAGAGATGATTGTTCCTGCCCTTCCTCCAGAGGTTTTCAGCCAGGCATTGCTTCTGACGGGGCCAGGTAGAAACGTTCGGAGGTGTTTTGTTTGTCACAGTCCCTAGAAGCTACTTGCATTTGGATCCAGGGGACAGTTGCTCAGAGGAATATCGTCCCACCCAAGCATCCCGAGAAGTCCTCTGCAGAAACAGTGAGGAGATGCGGGGGATCGCCTGCAGTGATGCACACATGGAGATTCCATGCGCCACATGAACAGGATGGTCCCGCTTGTCTCCCTTTTCTATGAACTTCTCTCAGCTGCCCTTTCGGGAGATGTTATAGCCTTTTGATTTATTAATATTTATTTAATGTGTTTCACATTCTCTTTAAAAAGGAAGTATGAATACTATGGTCCTTCCTTTTAAGAACAGTGTTGGCTATTACTTATTCCTGTCACTGGACTTTCATTGTTTTTTAATCTCTTTTTGGCTGTAAGGAGAGTATTTCCAGAAGAATAGACAGTGTGTTAAACATACCAAACATGACAAATGATGGGGACAGCAGTTTACAGGGCCGTTTCCTGCTCTGAGCCCAGTTGTGAACAAGCCTTTTCCTGCTCCCTTCAGCCCCAGTGGGTCTGATGAAGGCGGAGGACTGCTTGTTTGCTGTTTTGCTTTTCTTTGTCCCTGACCTCTGTTACTATAAGTAATTTCCTTCTTTATTCTCTCTCTCTCTCTCTGGGTAAGAATATGGAGTGGTTTCTGGAGGAGTTATTTTCTCCTTTGGCAGTTAACAGAGTTTTTAACAAACCAAATGGAGCAGAGAAAAGGACTTGGCTACATTTCTGTATTATTTCATTAAGTTGTTGCTATGCTCTGAACTTCAAAGGGGGTTAGAGTCAGGTAGTTTTGTTAAGTAACTTGGAAGGAATATATGTATTATAGCAACACTTTTTATTTTTTAATTTTTTGCCAGAGGGTGCATGTGCTTGACAGAAATAGAGAGAGAGAGCACCCCTTATGGGGCATAGTCACACAGCAATCCCTTCTCCTCCATCTCTCCTTCCTTTTGGGGTTTGGGAAATGCACGTGCACATGCCTGGCTGTTTCTCAAGCTGCTGCTTCTGGGTCTTCAACCATACGGTCAGCCATGTGGAATCCAGCTTTTATTATGTTTTTAATTAACTTTTTTTTTTTTTTTTACATTTAATTGCTATACATCCTTACAGCATACATAATGATTTTTCCCAGAATGAATATATTGCATTTTAGTGTAATCCAAGACATTACCAAACACATTATCATCAAAAAATATCTCTTCATTTTCGTGTCTGTTAAATGTTACTCAATCACCAAGCCACAGGCTGCCTGGGACACTTACTTTTTTTCTTTTTCTTTTTAAAAAATCATTAGCCCATTCGCAGTTAATACTGTTTTCTTACTTTAAAGGTAGGGTTTCAGTTGCATGGTGCTAAGTCTAAGCAAAAGTTTTTCCGTTTTCAAAATCTTTATGTGGTACATATTTTGAGAAGACAAATGAAAACGTTTTGAATTGATCTATCCCAGAAGTACTATGAGATTATTGGAGAAATGGTTCCGTCTACAATAAGGTGTGTTCTTATGCAGTGACATTTCACATTTATTTTATTTCGCAACAGAGACAAAGCGTGGAGGACACAAGGATGGGCGGAAGGGAGGCCTTTCTGGAAGCTCGTTTTTCACGTGGTTCATGGTCATCGCACTGCTGGGCGTCTGGACGTCGGTCGCTGTCGTCTGGTTTGATCTTGTCGACTACGAGGAAGTTCTAGGTAAGACTTTCCATAGTCTTTTCTAATGTGACATCCCTTAGTGATCTTAAAGCCTTATCTTCTTTTCAGGACTGTTAATTTCTGTAGCCTTTGGGTGGTTTTCAGGAAGCTGGTAACAAAAGGGCTTGTTATGAGGGTTGCCTTAGAGTAGCCACTTTTGAACGTCTTTGAACCTGGCCTGTAGTAAAATAAGATAGGCTGTCCAGTGTCTGTGTATCAGACAGAAATTTTATCAAACAGCATCCTCAATACATTGAGTAATCTGTAATTTCTATTTTGTGACATTATTCATTAAAAAAAAAAAACCGAAAAACTGTTGATCATGAGCTAAAGAATTTTTTTAAGGACCCAGTGAATCATAACCACACTATTTACAAAACCTGTCCTTACAGCAGGTTTTTAAAACACATCCTTCTGTGTCTCTGTTGCGATGGGGTCTGTATGTGCGTGTGCACGTTCTGGGGTGGATGATGTGAGTGTGTGTGTAGTGCCAGGGAGTGTGAGTCAGTGTGTGTGTGCACGCGTGTGCAGACTGTAGGTTTATATGTTGTTCTGGAAGTTGCTGTGGTACTTCTGATGGTACCCTCTTTCTCCTGTATCCCCTTCTCTTTGGATAATCACTGCCACTTAAAAAATGACTTATTTCACATTAATAATTATTACTTTTTTGAGACACATTCCCTTTTTCCTTTCATTTCATCAAAAATCTTTTAGCTGAGATAAAGTGCATGTGATGTAACCTTTAGTACTATAAATATTTGGAGATGAGCAATTCAGTGTGTCCGTATATTCAGCCTGTTTTGGTGGGTTTGTAGTTTTGCACAGCCGTCATCATCTAATTTCACTACTCCTTCAACTCTCTCCTCAGCCCTTCTTTCCCTTATCTGGAAGACAGTAATCCACGTTCTCTGTCCATGATTTTGCCAGTGTGGCATTTTTATACAAATGGAATCATACAATATGTGGACTTTTGTGTTTGCCTTTTTGCACTTAGCAGGTTTTCAAGGTTCCAGACTTCATGTAATAGCTGAATAATACTCCATCTTGTGGACATACTACATTTTGCTTATCCATTTATTCAGTGACGGGCATTTAGGTTATTTCCAGTTTTTGGCTCTTATGAATAACAACCATCCTTTTTAATAGTCCATTGAAGACATAAGCTTCACTAGATAAAATGCACACTTACCTGTATCAACAATGTTGCACAGAAAACTCCTTCTTTTCCATTGGGCTACCTGTGATTCTACCTCCTTGTCAGGTTATAGCCACCTTTCTGGGAGAAAATGCAAAGACTAACAAAATAGGCTTGCTTGTAATCAGTCTTTTTTTTTTTTTTTTTAAAGGTTTGCCATAGGGTGTCTGTACTTGCCAGAAAGGAAAGAGACATTGAGAAGGAAAGTGAGAAATCAGTCCTCAGAAGGGATGGCCATGCCACAATGCCACCTTATCCATTTTCTTGGAATTTTGGGCATCCATGCACATGTGCCCAGCTTGATTTTCATACTGCCAGGTCCAGGGCTCAAATAATAGTTGACCATGTGGGAGTCCAGTGCCTTAACCAGCAAGCCACCTGCTGATCCCACAAATAATCTTTCTTTCACAAAAAACAAAAATGAAACTTTCATTTTTATTACTTTGAGGGATGTATGTCTGCTTAGATTGAAGAACTGAGGGAGGATTTTAGATTGGAGACAAACTTCTGAAGAGGTCTGTCCTTTTATTAACTTGATAGTGATATATTACTGCAGGACATATGTTAGACAAATGAAGAGATTTAAGATATTTGTACCTTTAAAAGTAACAATTTCTGTGTTTTTACATGCATGCAGCCAAAGCAAAGGACTTCCGTTATAACTTATCAGAGGTACTGCAAGGTAGGCTACTGGTGATACTTACAAACTTGCATCACTAAAACCTCATCCTTATTCTGTTAATCTATGAACCGCCTGCATCAGGGAATGTAAGCGGTAGGACCAGTTTCCCCTTCAAGTTTGTCAGGAAGGAGAGTAGTTTCTGTCTTATGTTACTTTAATGTTACCCTGTGGCTTTGACCTGCAGATTAGTGTTTCCTTTTCTTAGTTTGAAATGGTGACCTTTTCATCTCTCAACCATTGTGTTACTGTATAAACGACTAATTTACAATGAGTCATTTTCAGCGTATGTGTGCTTCCTATAGCAGACTTCTAGCAGCAAGTTAGCTATTTTCCCAGTTAGGGATCTGGGAAGATAAAGATTGGTCATAGCTACCCAGTACCGAACTTTCTGCCTGCTTTTATTCAATCCTTTAATGTTCTTGGTATTAAAGACTTGGTAACAGTGCTGCCAACTGGCATTTTTGGAATTCATGCTTTGTCAGTGTTTTTTAAAGTATTGCTATGCATTCTTTTTTAAAGAGAGATTTTTGGTGTGGATTGCTTGCATTTGCTGGAGAGACAGAGAGACAGGAAGTGAGAAATCACCCCCAAAGGGTGATGGCCATGCTACAATGCCTTCTCCATTCTCCTCTTGGGATTTTGGGCATGAGCACACATGTGTCCAGCATGAGTTTTCAGCTGCCAGGTCTGGGACTTGAACCATGGTTGACTATGTGGGAGTTCAGCAACATAACTATTATGCCATCTGCAGGTTCCAAAATATTGCCATGCATTCTCAACATTTCTTCATGGTCATTGTGCAATGATAAGTTATAAGTCACATTAATTTTAGGATGTCTTTAGGAGATTGACTGTATTTGACTCACTTGTAGTGCTAATCCTAATGGTGCTCCTGATGAGAAAGCAGTGAAGTCTTTCTCTGTTGTTGTTTAAAAATTATTTATTTTGTTTTATTTATTATTAATTTGACCAGAGAGAGAGGGAAAGTGAGGAAACAATCTGCCAAGCCCAGGACTCAAACCATAATCAACCATGTGAGAGTCCAGTGCCTTAACCACCATGCCACCTGTCAGCCCCAGCAGTGAAGCCTAAAAATATGTGTTTACTATTCTTGAGGATTAATGAATGGTCTTGGTAGTATTGGCTACTCAGCCTATCAGTTTACATGCACCATTCCCCCGCCCCCCAATAGTTGCTCACTGTTAATTAGGTTTTGGGTAGAATACCATAATTATTCCTTTGTAGTTTCAGGAAGCTTAACAGTTTTACATACATTATTTCTAGAATTGTCTTTTTTTTTTTTAAAGCTTTCATGATATTTCTGTTTTTAAATTATTATTGTAAAATATAAAATTAACTTTTCTCTTATTTTTAGTACCTTACACTTAGGTTAATTTATTTACCATTAGTCTTTATTTGACGCTTGGTTAGTTGTTCTTTTTGCTTCAGCTATTGATAGTATGATAAAATTGCATGCTTAAGAAACATCAAATTTCATGGAACTCTTAGAAAAGGGTCAGCATGGTTCTTTGTATACATTAAATTTTTTTTCTAAAATATTAATATTTTTAGCAGTATAATAGAAAATTATTTGGAGGTGATTAGATCATGGTATTGTGAAACCCTTACAGAAAATCTATCTTAGTTATATTTCTTAGAATTTGTTAGATGAACATTTTCTGAATCTGTAAGTGAATTGCTCATGATTTGGGGGTAAGATTCTTATTTGACCTTGTTCTGAAGGACTGCATTGATTGGTAATATTTATGACTGTTGCACAGGGCTGAAAAATGTGGAATACCTTATTAAATGTATTTTCTTTTGTTCCTATGTCCATCATTTCTCCTCTGTTGTAGGAAAACTAGGAATATATGATGCTGACGGGGATGGAGATTTTGATGTAGACGATGCCAAAGTTTTATTAGGCAAGTACCTATTTTACTTTTTTGTTTGTGGTGATAAAATACTGGAAACAAAAGAATATTTTTGCTTTAGCATTTATGCTGATAATATATTCTGTTTGGAAGATAGTTTCTCCTTAAATTATATATTCTTATTGAGACATTAAATGAATTATTTTTTCATAGACTTTAACATTTCAAGTTACTTTTATGAATGGGTAAGTTGTTAGTTCTTATGTATATATTTTTAATAAGTGTACATTTCTTGTGTGTTTTCAGATTTAAACCACTTCATATCTTGAAATTGACATTTGAATAGATAATGTTCTAGACTGTTTTCAAATATGGTAGTTATAGCTGTTCATCATTTGACATAAATCACTTTTATTTGAAAGTGTAAAATTTCTGCTCTTATATAAATTTTAAATAAAATCATGTTAGTAAAATTTTAAAATAGTCTATGCATTTTTAAAGGAAAGGCTAAAACTCCAGCTATACTAGGTTTTATTATCTTGGAAGTCTTAGACCCTTCCTTTGCTTTCTGTCATCAAAATTGTCTGTCTGTATCACTGAGATATTTTTTTATAATACAAATGTAGTATTCTCTCATTTGTTTTAAAAGGCATCTTGCTAGAAAGGTGCTAATTTTAATATAAAGTTTTATGTAATCTGACCTAATAAGATTTTCTTCAGTTTTGTATGTAGCATGATACATATTAATCTTTTTTATATCCAAGTCTTTGGAAAAATAATGGGTATATCATTGTATTATACACTAAACTAAACAGAATAATGGCCCAGAGAAATTTTCCTAGATACATTATTTTGTGTATAGGTTATAGATAAAAAAGAATGGGAGGATACACATCTGTAACCAGTGAAATTGTTTGCAGTTGCTCAGTTTCACCTCCTTATAAAGCAATAAATTCTGAATATGAGAAAAGGATTTATAATTAAATATGATAAAACTTTTTACTTTTGACCTATCTTAGTTATGTTTTCTTGTTACTGCTTAGCAGTAGAAACTTTCTATGGAATTTTTCATAATATTTATTTTTTCATTTTAACCTTAATGGGATTTTCAGTAAAATTCTGTCATTACATATCTGATTTTGAGTTTCTGTAACTATATTAAATCTTTAGAGGGTTATAATTCTAGGCATGAGAAAGAAATAAATTTATACAGACATTTCAGAATGTTAATTCGCTTGCCTGTAAATTGCTTATTACTCCATTATGTTGCTTTACCTTAAATGATGAATTTTGAATAGCATAGTTTGTTATTTTAATGACAACTTCATGTGGGCTAAATTCCCTCATGTCTCAATATTAGGTCATCAGGAAAGTAATGATGTATTTTTCTGTTTTCCTATGCAAAAGTATGTCATGACTTTCCCAATGACCCAATAATACTGTATATCTACTTTATCTTACTGATTTTTTTGCCTTAAAATAAACTATTTTGTCTGTTAGATAAGAAATGGCAACCATGGGAACCAGCAGTTAGCGTAATGGCTATATCGCTGGACTCCCACGTAGTCGACCGCGGTTTGCATCCTGGACCTGGTGGCTTAAAACTCACGCCAGGCGCGTGTGCGTGCGTGCCCAAGATCCTGAGAGGAGAATGGAGGAGAAGGGATTGTGGCGTGACCATCCCCCCTGGGGGATGATTTCTCGCTTTCTGTCTCTCTGTCTCTCTCTGTCTGTCTGGCGAGCGCACGCGCCCTATAGCAAAAACCTCTCCAAAAAAAAAAAAGAAAAGAAATGATAACCTTCAAAAATTAAAATGTGTTTTGTCTAGAGACATACTAGTTTAACTATAAATGTGAAAATTACTGTTTTGCAAGAGACACGTGTACTATGTACAAATTATAAGCTGGGCTTTTTTTTATATGTGTTAACAGTTGGAAGCAGAACAAAATTCAGTGAGTCTCAAGTTTGACTAATAAATCACAAAGAGAAACAGCCTCACTGTACACACTAGCCCACAGCTGGCTTGTGGCTTTAATAAAGATGAAACAAACCACAGGTGAACTGTTAGGCTCACTTTTCACATCTAACCTTATTTTTATAGTGTTTGAATTCTCTGCATGAAGTTCAGGCTCAACTTGAACCTTAGGTGTGAAGTTCTTTTCTGGTTAGTGAGATTGCTGTATCCAGTTGTGTTTCTGTTACTGGCAGGTGATTGCAAAGACAGAAAGCATGGTGAACTGGTTGGGAGCTCAGAGATTTTAGTGGGTTCTACATGGTCAAGGAGAAGTTACAGGGAAGCACACACAGTGAACATATACCCCAAAAGAAGGAACTTTCTCACTGGAAAAGGCAGCTGAAGGGTTAAGCCAAAACCTTAAGGGTTTGTCTTTTGGATTAAGGCAGGGGTGGCCAAACAGAGGAGGGAAGGTAGGAAAGCCTGGCATAGCAGGTGTCGTAACAGGTGGAATATATTGAATTTCCATGGGTTTGGTTTATTTTTTTAAAGATGTTGTTTCAGATTCTTAAATCCGCTTGTGTCTAAATCTTACAGTTTGGGGAAATATACACATTTGTGTTTACATTTCTTTCATATTTGCAGTTTTCTTGTGCAATATGAAAAGATTAAATATGTGTGAGTAAATCAAGATCAATAGTCATTATTAATTTTATGATTTTATTCTTTCTGGCCAAGGCCCTTCTGATGCACTTTGACGATAGACCCAGCTTCTCCACTTACATACTTTCCTGTTTTTGTGGCCAACTTGTCTAAACAAAAAGTCTGTTTGGTTTTAGTTTAGATTATTGAAAACTACGTTGTTCAGAGAATGCATTTTTTTAAAAACTTGTTTCCCAGCTAACATCAACAGAAAAATGATCTAAGGACTAATCGCTGGGAATAACATCTTAGAATAACGCCACCCAAGGATGCCATGGTTGTCCTTTGTCCTATGCTAGCACCTAGCTGGCACCATATCAGGTATGGCTGGAGAATGAAAGGGAAGCCAGTGAGCATGCCCAGACCGTGAGACTGCTCTCAGGCTGGACGGGTGCATGAGTGAGCTGAAGGAGGAAGGGGACCCAGCCCTGCCAAGTCAAAGGGATTCATGCCCAGCTCTTGGTTGGGGGCGTGACTCCTGAAGATTAAGAAGGAATTGCATATCCAGAATCCTTTCTTTTGATTTGGGCTAGTATTTTGGTCTAGTAAATCAAGATCAGTTGCATTCTTAATTTTGTTATTTTATTCTTTCTGACCAAGGCCCTTCTGATACACTTTGAAAATGTGCTGCGCCTGTTCTCCATTTACACACCTTCCTATTTTTGTGGCCAAATTATCTAAAATACCTAAAGCCATAGGGAGGCCCTGTGGTTGGATGAACGATTTTGTTCAAGTATTTTTGCATATTTGTTGCACACTTTGACTTGTTGGACTGAAGGTCAGGAAGGTTTTATATTTTATATTCTGTACTTAGTACTTGGAAGTACTTATAATACATTGGAAAATGGATAGAAATAACAATGTTTTTATTAAATATATAACTGTGGTGTTTTAAGGCAGGAAAAAGAAACTGTCGCTCAGAAGTAACAGGTTCAGATGGGAATTTAGAAACCAGTTCATAGCAATTGTCAAGTAGTACAATCAGTGAAAAAACTGTTCTGAGCTTACCAAACAATAGTTTAAATGCCGAACTGCAATGTGTATCTCCTCTTCTTCCAAACACATGAAGAATGGCAAGATATAGTTCTTCTGTTGACTGAAGTGAAGAAAATTCTCTGTAACCTTTGAACTTAAATGGTCTTACTAGTTAGTACTTTTTACATACCTGTCTTGATTGTGGATAGCTTTACTCCATGTAGAAATTGTGTTGCCAAAGCCTTAAATGACTGCATTAGGTGGTTGTAATCAGAAGAGCTCTGTGATTGTGGATATTCACATTTCTTTCAGCCAGGACCTATCCCCCATTTTTTCTCTTCTAGACTATGGGTTATTGCTGCATTTTACTCTTGCGGTATTGATAAGTTTGATGCCTACTGAAGCCAGAAGACCTTTCCTATCCACAGCCAGTTCTTCACATGAAAAATAAATAAATAAAAATAATATAGACTCTGATTTCATTCCATAATGGGAGCCTATTTTGGAATCAGTACTTTAAAATGACAGAAGTCAGGGGTCTTTGGAGTCAAAGCTCTTTTCATGTGTTGATGGAGTGAAGAGTTTGGAATGTTCTTGTTCCAAATCCTGGCTAAGGCCTTGATCAAGCTTCATATTGGTAGATGAGGCAAATGATTATTAATAGCTAACTCTTAATATTGGCCAGAATTAAAAGACCATGAGTCAATTCTGGAGTTTTATAGAGCTACCATATTTAATACTGTTAAAATGTAAGTGTTAAAATGATCCACGTTGCATAAGTTGAGTGCATTTATTGGGTTGTTGGAAAAGTCATGGCATATTTTTCTATGTTTTTCTCTGCAAAAATGTGTCATGA